ATGTAGTCGCGCAAACAACCAGCGGAAAAGCCATGGTCCCACGTACACACCAAGTACGCCGGTCAATGCAACGGCGCCCCCCACTTGTTTCTGGTTGATGCCCATCACAAATAGTCTGAAAGTGTTGTCATTACCTACCCGACCACAAATGCCGCGTGAGGTCACCTCAAGTGAATCGGCAGTCAACACGGACTTCCCGATACCATAGGATGCGGCAATAGTTCTTAATTGACGTCTTTGATTTTTGAAGATTTATGTCACCCTTATTGTACCCAACACTCCTGCTCACCGCACTACCACACCCGCTCCAAGGAGCAAGCGGAGTGTCTTACCGTCACTTTCAATAGCACTCTAGAAAGCTAGTGGTAAGGAGACCGTGGATGTGAGATTCCAAATGTCCCTGTTTGCTTATCATCTCTTAAATGAAAATCTGTCGCAAAGGCATTGATGGGTAGGAAGTTGCGCACCAGAAATGAAGCGACGGTCTCAACCGAAGAGACATCCAAACTAGTCTCCACCAGTCACAATGACTTCGTTGTTAAGCTCAATGTTCACGCCCGTAAAGAAGAAGGCATTAGCAGTGTGCCGGTAGAATTGTTCTGCTGCCACACGACCAACATCAGACGCAGGACGCTAGGGATGATGAAAAGAGACACGCAACTACGCAGATCCGAAAAGATTACACAGTGCATACGCGTCATCTCCCCGGCCACACACAGACTTTCTTCTCTGACTATCGGGCTGATCCCCCACGAAGCCAGAGTGATGGCCTATCGTTAAAGTGAAGTGCAGGATATCGCTGTGGAAGGTAACGCGTGGGTTCGCTGCAGCCAACAGCGACTGCGATGCGGAAGGATCTATGAACAGGTGCAATTGCTTATGCAATTTAAGCTGCACGTTACAGGCAATAAAACACCTTGGTGGTATGACAGCGGATAACAAAGCCCTAGTCGCACTTCAGTTGAGAATCTTTAATACGGGGAAAAAAGAGAGAGGATTAGATAGAAATGCGGGAGAGTGTAAGGGAAGGGAGGTGGTAGCACCATCATCATCAACACACGTTAGTTGATGGTGAGAAACACACCTCAGCTAATGTGCCACAATACAAAAAGGTAAGACGTTAAGTAGTGTAGACTTAAAAGCTGTAAAAAAGTAACAATGCTAATAGCACCTTATTGATGGGTGTTAAATGGGGAAGCTAAAGGGAAGAGGAGGAACAGAGACTTACAACACAAACGTCACTAAGGTCGACTCTGTGCCACGTCAACTAAACCTGTTCATCAACCTTCGGCCCTTTTCCCAAGTGAGTTTATTCTCGTCTTCTGACAGCAGGCGTTCGCTAGCGTTATCGTCTCGAATGCCAACCAAAAGGCATTGCACCGCCATCGTCTCTTTCAATTTGGTTGCGGGAATTTCATTGTAACATCAGTCAGGAAGGGACTGAGGAATTCATTAACACCCCCCTCTTCTCCCTATCGTAAATGAGAAAAACTCAGGCGCGCAGTAAAAACATGTTGCCGCGGTCCCCAAAAGCCAAACAGAGCGTTAAAGCAATCCGTCAGGGATGGGCTTTCGTACAAACACAACGCATTAAAACGCTGTTGACATTTTGCACCAAGTGTTGTCTCAGTAGCTTGATGGATTGGGTTTCACTAAGTTTGACGTGGGGCGTGTAATTATGAAAAGCGCAAGGTAGTCACAGAATGTTCGTTTCCAACGATTCCAAACTGCTAAGGATTGCTTCGACGATGTGTCGTTCCAAAAGAGATCAGGCGGGGTAAGATGGCGCATAATAATTTATTTCAAGTTTAACTTTCGTCGCCAAAATGTCAGTTTAGCAATTGTGGAACTAACGCACAGTGGCTGGCTGTAAGCCGAAGTACCACAAAGCAAAACGCGTCAGGCACATGGAAGGCAAAACTGTATTCTAACCGGCATGTACAACGCATTGACCAACTGTTCTAAACTAGGCCAATCGATAAACGGGTGAGCGGGTTACTGACACACGCCAATCGATGCAGGCAACGAATAGAAAGCGCTCAGTACACTGGCCGTGAGAATGCCACTGGCCCCCAGCCAGGCAGTCGGGATGCACCAAGCGATGCCTACTTCGAAGTGAGGGGTTTCATTCCTCTCAACCAAGTCATCGCTTGGCCCCCCCTCCTCCTCTTCCAACCGCACCCCAGCCGAGGCAAAAATGCACGTCGCGAGAGTCGGTGTGCTGGCATGCGCAACACGTGGCCCAGCCATCAGAGCCTGGTGCGTGATATAATGGTGCTGAGCGGTTCACTCGCTCTTCCCGCACCAAATACGCGACGTCGAACACGCTTATTGCTCACGCGGTGCTTTCAACAGACATGAGCTAAGCTGCGAAGGCAGTGACGATCGAACGCAGCCAGCCCCTTTATGACGATCGACTTGATGGGCCACGTTTCGCAAACGTACAGGAAGGGTGTAAGGACGGCTGCATTGCAAACACTGCGCTTCAGAGCGGGAATAATGTCACTCCGGCACCACAGATGATGATGAATAAAAGCGCATCGAGCTTTTACTATACGATTCATAACCTCATGTTCCGTTCTACTGGCGCTGATATAGCTTTTTAGATATTGTATTTCTCGACAACTTCCAAATTATCACCGCCAAAGGTCAGTGCAGGATTGGGTCCCAGCCGATCTTGGATAACCTTGCATTTCGATGGTGCAAAGCCTAACCCGAAATGACTGACAGCCAAAGCAAGTTGATCCAGTGCAGCTTGGCCCGTTCGGGGGATGTCAAAGATGAGCGCAATGTCGTCGGCATATTCCAAGTCGAGTTGTTCAACACGGAGCACGTTCACACCTTCCAAGTCGTGCCCAGCGAACGCCGTTTCCATGACCTCGTCAATGTCGAGGTTAAAGAAGAAAGGTGACAGCGGGCAACCTTATCTCACACCGCTGGAGATAATGAAGGGCGGCGACAGCTTGCAGTAAGCCCACATTTTACCCGAGCTACGCGAATATAGCGCTCGGATAAGGTTGACATTTTTCTCGGGCATACCTTTCCTGAGTAGACAGTATCAAAGGGCATACGATCAAATGAATCAAAGGCCTCTTTGATGTCTAGGAACACTACGGTGGCTCGCCAATAAAAGCGGTGCTCCAACAACTGACCTAATATAAAGATGTGTCAATGCAGCCTAGATTTGGAGGAAACTCGGTTTGCTCCTCGCGCATCTGGCGTTCATGAGTGTTAATCGGTCTATGGAGGACGAAATACGCGAGCAACTTAGAGGCAATTGAAATCAGACTCCTCTATGACTGCCGCATTCGGAACGGTAGCCGCCCTTGAGAATTGGAACCATTATGGAGCGCCTCCAGTCCGTCGGGGCAGTCTCCCGTTCCCATAGATTCAACCGTAAGATATGCAAATCGTCCAAAAGAGCAAGTCCCCCAAATTTGAAGAGGGCTGGATGAAGTCTATCAGTTCCGGCGGTTTTGTCCAATTTCAACCGTCGGATCTTACGTCCTACTACTGCGCGCGAGAACGCCTCCAAGGGAACGGTTCAGGGAGTAGCGCGCTTATGGGCCGATAGAGAAACTGGCAACTGACTGAGTAAATTGCTTCTCAAAGTGTTCGTCCAAACGCTCCAAGTGCATTGACAAGTTGCGGATCGGCTGTCCACTCTAGTCGCATTTTGTCCCGTTAACACCATGTCTGCTGCTGCCCGTTTCTCGTATCAAACGGAATAAGGTCCGATGGTTATCAAGGGCAGTGGCTGTTTCCATCTCCGATGCACGATAAAACCACCAGACTCAGCGGTCTCTCTTCAGGCTAGCACGTAGTTTCGCCCTGAGAGCTCTGGGGCGTCAATCCAAGCAGCAAGATAGATCACTGCAATCACCGCATTAACGATGTCACATCGTATGGCGGCGAAACGCAGGTAACCAGATAGAAACTTGGTGTTGTCCGCCCGAAAACACAGCACAACCACGAGGCGTTTCGATGTATTTCAACTTATCAAGTGGAGATATCAGGCCCCGAATCAGCGACCATTGCAATAGTTGCCGAAACCCTTACTCCTTTGGCTACCGGGTCACCTGATGAGATGAAATGAGTCAGAACGCGTCGTGGTTGTGCAGTGTTTTCGGGCGGGCAACACCCAATTTCCATCTGCTTCGGCTACGGTCCCAATGATCGTAGTGAGCAAGGTTCACTACAATGTGAATCGCGGTCTACATTGAGGTCGCACATCGCAATCCAATCACAAGTGTAGTCCAAAGTTGACCCTCCAATTAGTCATTTACCGTTGTGCCAAGCGTTGACCGCCGTGACCCGGTAGCCAAAGGGGTAAGGGTTTCGGCTACTATTCAAATCGTCGCGGGTTCAAGACCTGCTATCTCCACCTGATGAGATGAAATTACATCGAAACGCGTCGTGGTTGTGCAGTGTTTTCGGGCGGGCAACACCCAATTTCCATCTGCTTCGGCTACGGTCCCAGTGATCGCAGTGACCAAGATTCACTTCAATGTGAATCGCGGTCCACATTGAGATTGCGTGTCGCAATCTAATCACAATAGGCGTAGTCCGGAATTGACTCTCCAAGCAGGTAACCATCTTATCATGCTCGGCAAACCAGCCAAACAGCTAAATTCCGTGTAACCTTCATGTGAGATTTTGCTTATACTGGTTCGATTAGCTATGCGAGTTATGTAAAAGTTCCGATGGTAAGCGCAGACCTACGAACCACACGTTTGAACGACTGCTCTTTTCACAACTCTCCTCATATTGCATCACATGCTCTTAACCTTGCCACTACATAAACCCATTGTCCTGTCTACTGCGTAGAGAGAGGATACGGTGGCTACAGAATGCCAAAGAGAGCGAAATTCCGTAGGCAAATAAGGAACAGGACGAAAAATCGATGAGCTTAGAGCTGACTCACCTAAACGTGAGCTTCTTAACGACTACGGTCGTATGAAAAACGACGTAAGCTGCAAGGGTAAAAGTTAGGTTGGAACCTACAATTCCATTTGATCGTATATCCTCGACGGTGATGGTGAGATATACTCGTGCAAAGGAAGAGGTAGGTGCGGTAGAGATATAGCACATCTGTCCAGTGACGCAGTAGAGTGGCTGTAAATAGTTAAACGAAGCAAAAAAGACATACGAAGAAGTACGAGGTGGATTACTGTCGATAATATCGACTTCGAACATACTGCAAATAATCGAACATGGTTTGACGAACATAGATGCATCTTTAACTGGCACGGAACGTAGACGTTCAACCTGAACGTAACATCGAACAGGTTCCGATAAACCAGCGCCACGATATCGTGATCGAATGATCCTGCGAGCCAGCTTACACTTGAGTTTGGAAGTGGGCTTTATGGGGCAGAAGTTAGGAGTATCCAGTTTGCTACTTACCAAAGCATGAGCCTTCACAGTCCGCGCTGAATTACTTGTTATTCGGCTTGAAGAATGTGTCACTCTTCTGAGATAAATAATGGGCAGATTCGAACTACAACAATGTGACGTTTATTTCACACCAACCCCTTGATAAGTAACACATAGCACTTCTTTAGTGGCAACCCACGTATCCGTACCATACCAGGGGCAATGATCTCTACTGGTAGTAAGATCCCAGCAGCTCAAGAGGCTGGTAGACGGCGCGTGAAGTTCAAATTCAAATAAGAATGGAAGGGTGGGAAAATCTCGTGAGCTTTTTCTTGGGCGGGCCGTTGAGCCAGGAATTGAAGTGCTCTGAGGTATTGAGTTAACTAAAACGAAATACGTGAAACACAATCGTCAACCTATTAGTGCCCGTTTCATGCACTAGCAGTCACTGCCGCAGCGGTCACGTGAAGTAAACAATAGGTATGAAGAAAAATGGTAGGTATGGAAGGAAGGTTACTTAAATAAGGATTAATATCAATTAGCGCAAAATTGCATACTAGATAAAATCGAAGTATGAAGACATGGTTTGGTCTGGAGAAGGAAAATGTTTTGTGTTGCAACCCAAAGTCGTCCAACAAACGTTAAAAACCTTTAACCGTAGGTTCCTTGACAACGTTTCCTGGAAGCGAATCCGATCTATCGATAACTCAGCACGGTTATCGAGTTTGCGTTCTTATGCAGTCAGAGTGAGGCTTATGAAGCCTCATGGGATGACCCACCCAAAAGCGTGCAAGTTGCGCTCAAAACCCTTAACCGCAGGTTCAATGATTGCATTTCCTGGAAGCGAGTTCCAGCGCTTGATAAACCTACGCGATAACCGAGTTTCCGCCCTGATTCAGTCGGAACGCGGCTTGTTTAGCTTCATGTGATGACCACGAAAACAAGACAACCTAGCCGGGCTAAATAGCCAGGATAAGTTCGGTGCAACCCTCCCAAGTAACATACAGCAAGTGAGGATCAGGTCTATTCGAGGCCGCCGGTAGTGCATTGAATACATGTCCAAATTAAGTATATGCTCGGGGTATCTTTGCCCTCGTAACCACCCGATCAACTTCGTAACTAAACAAAAAACTGTGGCATTTGCGCGAACCGTGTCCATTTGTTTCCTATTAGGTGGACTAACTGGTTTCAGTACGTGAAAGCTTAATACCAAACTAACCATTGATCGGGTTGATTTAAATTGTGCGACGCGTTGCGTATGGGGTTAGACTTAATATATTTTGCTACTGCCAAAACTGACGTGTTCTGTTGTGCTACGAGCCGAGTGCTGCGTTTTAATGGAGTTGTAATTACGCAAGAGCAAGGTGTTGGCGGCGGAAATCAAACTTGGAATAATTTTCTATATGCCATTTTACTCCACCTGAACCGAGCTGCAAGCATTTCATAGAATGGTAACTCATAACGGTCGTTTTCACGCAAGTATGCTACTACTCTTGCGCCTATGCATGCATTGCCATGTAATACAGTCCAACCTGCTATAGCGATCACCTGTCTATGGCGACCAGCCAAAAAGATCCCCAGTTTTCGTCTATGAGTAGTGTCCCTATGCATGAGCCTGTCCATGGCGACCACCCGTTCAAGACGACCACTTTTGTCGGTCCCTTGAGTGGTCGCCTTAGACAGATTTGACTGTACCCTATGGTTGTGGTCACCAGAACCACAAAATGCTCATGTTGCTGTCAAGCTGACTATAAGCAAGGTTAATCTGCTGGTACAGTTTGACCCAGAGGCCGATTACTCTCCGGTGCGATGCAGGGTTCTAGGCTAGAAGTGGACAAAAGTTGACTTGGCAGCGGGAAATGAAGTCACTGACAACCATACTGGGTGCCGTCGGTCCGCCTCGTTTTCCGGGCTGGAGTCCACGTGATCCACTTTGTGCTTGGTTCGAAACTTTAGAGGGCATAGCTTGCAGTCGACACCAGTGGCACCTCTGCAGCCGTCTCCTAGTTGGACTGCCTGTTTAAAGTGTATTTGGTGCTGTTATCTGTGGGGTAATGGCTGATTATGACGCGGGGCAGTGAAAGCCGCAAGGGAGCTGTTTCGCTGGTGCCGCTTTATCTTTGCACGATCGTCAGCTGTTTTGATGGTATGTTGTTGACAAGGTGTTAGGCGCCTTGACCCTGAATGTCTGCTTACGGCATTGTGGTTTCCAGATAATTTCCTCTTTTCTCCCTCGTATTAGTCTTCATTCCATAAGTCATTATGGTTGTATGGCGGAGAAACATTAGTTAAAATGGCTGATGTGTTGCTGTTGTTGTTTGATTGCTTCATTGCGATGAATCATCTACAGGGCTCGGAGTCGTACTACAGTCAAACTTTTGTCGGTCTCTTGAGTGATCGCCTTGGACAGGTTGTCGCCGTGGGCAGCTGCACGCATAAGGATATTATTCATAAGAGAAAACCTTTGGGATATTTTTGGCTGGTTGTCGTAGAAATTTGGTCGCCAGAGCAGGTTGGGCTGTATCTCACGAAGTGGAAGACATGACCGGACGCCTATAGCTTTTGCTTCCAGCATCTTGACACTAGCGGAGAGGAGCTATGCATGGCCAGATAAGGAAGCGTTGTCGGTTATCTTTGGGGTCAGAAAACGTCACCATTACACGTGGGGAAGAAAGTTCGAAATGTTTGCAGACTGCAAAAATTTATTAACCTTGATAAGCGAGAAAATAGGCATCAACCAGATGGCGTTCCCTTGTACGCAACGTTGGATTTTACTGCTTTTCGCCTACATCTACAAAATCTCGTAAGTTTCTGAGAAAGCGAATAGAGTCGCCGACGTTCAGAGCCGCTTACGGTCGCAACAAAACTGGACCTCCGTTGCAACGAGACTGGACCTTAACGTGGTGCGACGGTTTGCGTACCTCATTGACCCATTGAGCTATACTGGGTGGTGCCTCCGAGCATCTTGAGAGCTACTCCTACCAGGTTGGTCAATGGTGAGAAGTCAGACAAACTCAGTCTCCTGGTCCTCCAGGTTGGGGGTTTGAAATGGGATGGCGTCCATTTCTGTAAAACTAAATCACTGCCACCCCGCTGCCTTGCGGACAGGCTTTTGAGCCAAAGGCTTTGTATGAGGACCCTAATCGTCCTCCTGTCTAGGTCTGGGCGCCCTGGCAGTATCCCAGCCCACATACAACCATGACATTTTCTTCAAACATAAACTTCATCCTGCATCGGCCGTCGCCCAGATTATCAAGGGTCGCCTTATCTGCTGTATACAGCAGAGCGGATAAGCGAAAACATGCTACTGCTGACGCCTCCCTTCTTCCTTTTCCACCTTTTTCTCTTACTCCCATCCCGGCCCCCATTACTAACCTTCCTTCTATAATTCCCAGCTTAATTGACAGCAACCGAAGTGCCACTGGAGTAGAACCATCTGCAGCCACCATCCCACAGCACCTATCGGACGCCTATCGGCAAAAGTCCCTTATAAGGCCACACTATCCCGTTTCCATGGCGACATTCAACGTTCGCACTCTAAGACAAACAGGTCAGCAGGCTGCACTCGCACGCACCTTGGACACACTGGGTGTTGATGTGTGTTGTGTGTCCGAAACTAGGATTAATGACCCTAACGGGGTTATTGAATTGACTGCACCCGGCTTATCCTCTCGTTATTGGTTGCACGCATCCGGAGACGCTGATGCAGCACTCACGGGTCAAGCTGGTGTAGGTATCATTCTAAGCTCCAAGGCTGAGCCATCGTTGGTTGATTGGATTCCGGTGAACAGCCGTTTATGTGCAGCCCGTTTGACGACATCAGCTAAGGTTGATTCACGAAGTAGTAAAACAAAACGCTGTTTGTTTGTGATTTCCGCTTACGTTCCCACCGACTGCAGTTCTAATGCTATCAAGGACACTTTCTATCACGAACTCAACGCCCTACTACGCAGTGCTACTAGGTCAGATATTATAGTACCTGCAGGCGATAGGAACGCACAAGTAGGGCGTCTGAGCTCTTCAGAAGCTCAGCTGGGTGGTAATTATGGACTTAACTCCGAACGGATTGACAACGGTGAGCGTCTGCTGCAACTGTGTGCAGAGCACCAGTTGTTTCTTAGTAGTACTGCTTTTAGACACAATGGGCGCCGAAGTGCCACTTGGCGTCCATCTGTAGCTGGCCAGCGATGGACCCAAATTGACCACATAGCCATAAGTTACAGGTGGCGTGGTTCCATCCTGGATTGCTGCTCATACTGGAGTACCTGTGTCGACTCTGATCATGCCTTGGTACGCCGTCGTTTCTCCATGAACTTTACCGGAAGGCGCACCAAGTGTCCCCTACGATTGGCAACTGAGAAATTGTCCCAGCCCTCGGTCAGGCAAGCCTATCAAGAAGCACTGCATACTGAACTCTCGCTGTCTTTTCTTAATGACACTGAGCTTCAGTGGAATAGGATCTCGGCCGCCATGCACGACGCAGAAGCATCCGCTTGTGGCACTATTCGTTGTCACCGCACTAGTCACTGGATATCCGAAAGGTCCGTGAACCTGTTGGAATCTAGAAGACTCCTCCCGGCTGGTTTTGAATACAATGTGACCAGACGGGCTATTAGGCGTGAACTAAAGCGGAGCCTACGTGCTGACAAGGAAGCCTGGTGGATCAGTCGGGCTCAAGAAATGAAGGAGGCAGGAGCAGTAGGCAATTATCGCAAGCTCTTCCAGCTGATCCGCACCACTGGTCCCAGAAAACCAGGCGTCAGTGAGACAATCAGAGACAGTGCGGGTGCGCTGACACACAATAAGGAGCACCGTATGGCTCGTTGGGCTGAGCACTTTGAACATCAGTTCAGCTGGCCCCCTGCTCCCGGACCTCTTCCCACTCAGGTGATGCAGGACGAGTCATGGACGGTTAGTTTAGAGCCTCCGTCAGAGGCCGAGGTCCGAAACGCGATCACAGCCCTCAATCGTTTTCGTGACGCTGGCCCGGATTCCCTCCCACCTGCACTATTTAAGGATGGAGATGAGGTCCTCTGCAAAGCACTGACCTTATTCGAACGTATCTAGAACGAAGAGAGTGTCCCGGCTAATTGGAGCGAATCGATTATAGTGGCAATATACAAGAAGGGCAGTCGCACAGACTGTGCGAACCACAGGGATATTAGCCTAACGCCAGTTGTGACAAAATTACTGGCCTCGATTATCGTTCGTC